AGCAGTGGAAAACGGATTCTTGGAGATGTCTCATCCACAGGGTTGCCATGAGTCGGAACTGACTAAAGGCCAGTTAACAACAACAACAAAGATGGGGGAAAGTTGTTCACTGTCTCAGGCTGCATCTGCACTGCAGAAATAATCCAATTTGATACCACTTTGGTCCAAAAACACTGCAGAAATAATCCAGTTTGAGACTGCTTTAAGTGCCTTGGCTCAATGTTAGAGAATCCTGGGAACTATAGACATTTAGCCTTTTCTGTAAGAGAGCTCTGGGGCCACCATAAACTACAATTCCCAGGATTCCCTAGCACTGAGGCAGGGCAGTTAGAGCAGTATTAAACTGGATAATTTCTTCAGAGTGTTTTGGACCTTTGGGCTCATTCCCTCTTGCATTTAATCCAGTTTGCGATTCACATTGACACCGGGTCACAGATTCGATTCAGGCTGATGTGTAGTTCCCACTATGGAGGTGAATTATGTCCTTATTACATTTCGTTCCTGCTAGAGGGAATGAGCTCCAAGTTGCCTTTGCACCCCAGCTTTAAGCACAGGATGCAAAAAGCCCAGTCCTGAGTCCTGAACGGTAGTCCCTTCTGGATTTTTAAAGGAAGGTTACTCACTTCGGAAGCCAAAGCAACAGCAGCTGGAGTAGCAAGGCCCAACTAGGTTTCCTTCAGGACAGAGTGGAGTGCACTGCCAACAGAGGAGCCCCAGCTTTTCCAGAAGCGAGAGGAGTAGGAGAAGAAGGAGTAGAGAGTCCGGGATGGGTCCCTAGGAGGCTCCCCTTCCCCAGCTCACATGAAGCCGCCACCTCAGCCTCAGCATCCACCTCCGCCACTTCCCCTTGGGGCTGATCTGGCCACACTCAGCCTGGGAGGGAGAGGAGTTGAGTGGTCAGGCCATGGCAGCCCCAGCTCTCATACCCTTCCTTCCTCCTTCCCCTGCCAAAGCTGGATCCTGGAACTCTACCTGGTGAGTGAGAGCTTGTGAGGCTGAGGGCAAATCTCCCAGTTTTGCTTCCCCCTCTAAAAATCTTGTTATGAAAAAAATATGAATTTTGGTAAGTTGTCAAATGTGTTGTTGTTGTATACTTTCAGGTAAACATTGTTGTATACCTTCAGGCAAGGTTTTCTTGGCAAGATTTGTCAGCAGAGTTTGAGTCACTCACTCTCTCAGCCCCAACCTTCTGCCTTTACTCCCCCCCCCCCAGTGTGATGCGAATCACACTTTGAACACTTTGAACACACTTTGGAATTAATTCTTTTTTTAAAAAAAACCTCCAAATGATCCATTTTCAGAAAAAGCAATTCTTTTGCATTTGCCTCACTTCACCATGATTCAAACAGAGCACAATTCGTTCTGAAACCATTACAAGTGTGAACAAGGCACATATAATCTGATCAGCAAATCGCTTTAAATCATAGTGGGAACAAGCCCTTTAAATGACATGGCTCCATGTTATGGAATTCTGGGAATGGTAGTTTGTTGGGGCACCAGAGCTTTGATACCTTTCCCAGAAACAAACTGCCATTCCCAGAATTCCATAGCATTGAGCCATGGTAGTTAAAGTGTGTCAGACTGGATTATTTCTCCAGTGTGCATGAAGCCTTAGGTTCTAACGTGAGGTCTGGGGAAGGTTGGCAATGCTGGGATGGTCAATGGGCAACGGCAGGGTGCAGGCAGTTGGGAACAAAAATGGGGTGGCCACCACTGAATGAGGGGCAGGGCTGCAAGGAAACAAAACTAGGGCTCTCCTAGGCAAGAGAGGCCCTCAGCCATTTGGATGGAAGTCATCAGGACAGTGGACACTTAAAATCCCTGTCCCTCATTTGGCCTGAGTCAAGGTAGCCTTACCATGCAGCAAAGTGAAGAAGCCACCTGAGGAAGAGTGCCAAACAGCTATTTAATTTAAAGACCTAGCTGCAGTGGCATCCCCCGACTTGGTGACACCGGGTGCGGGGGGGGGCAGGACTTCTGGGGGGCAGGACCTCTGGTGTGCAGATCACACAGGAGTGCACATGCACATGTGCACCAGTGAATTGCATATGCAGGCCTATGGTGGCCTGGACTCAAGGCCTTGTGGTGGCCTAGACATCATGCCCAAGGCCTCTGGCAGCCTGGATGGGGCGCCTAAGGCCTCGTGGCAGCCTGGACTGGGTGCCCAAGGCCTTGCGGTGGCCTGGACAGGGTTCCCAAGGCCTCAGAGTGGCCAAGACATCATGCCCAAGGCCTCATGGCAGCCCAGACAGAGCACCCAAGGTCTCGCAGTAGCCCGGTCAGGGCACCCAAGGCCTCACAGCACCCCAGATAGGGTGCTGAAGGCCTTGAGGCAGCCCAGAGAGCAGGCCCAAGGCTCTGGGATGGCCCTGTGGGGGGGGGGCAGGGGACCAACTGGGTGTCACTCCCCCTTCTGGGGTGTCACCTGCTGCAGGCCATACCCTCTGCACCCCTCCCCCAGTGAAGCTACTGCACAGCTGCATTACTCTGGAAAATCAGCATGCAAAAGGATGTTGGAGCACCTTTGAGACTATGCTTTCCTAGACCAAAGCCTGCTTCCTCAGGTGCATACTTGGAGTGGGGAATCCAGAAGCAGAACTATCATAAAGTAATAATTATCATCCAGAAGTTATTATGGTACATTGATGAAATGTTGTCATTGTCATAATTGATCCATAAGTGCATGATGTTGAGAAAATCAGCTCATTGTGTCCTTTATTTTTGTTACAGGTTGTGCCAGAAGTGACTAAAGTGTAAGATGGAGAAGACTGAGGCCTGCAGCATGATAAAGTTCCTACATTTGAAGAGTAATAGTGCCCACCAAATTCATAATGAGATGATAGTAGTTTATGGAACTGATTGCCCATCTTATGACACTATTGTGAAATGGAAAAGGAATTTCCAAACTGGTCACATGTCCTTCACATGAACAGCCCTGGTGGTGCAGTGGTTAAATGCCTGTCCTGCAGCCACTCACTCATAGACCACAAGGTTGCGAGTTCAATACCAGCCAGGGCTGAGGCTCGACTCAGGCCTGCATCCTTCCAAGGTTGCTAAAATGAGTACCCAACTGTTAGGGGGCAATCAGCTCACAGTTGTAAACCGCTTAGACATCTCATGCGCAATATGAAGCAGTATATAAATGAAGCTGCTTTGCTTTGCTTTTGCTTCACCTACGAGCCAAGACCTGGAAAACCATCATTGATGGAAAATTATTATCTGTATTGCACCTCTGTATTGTGTGGATTAAGCTTCAATTTGTTTGCCCTCATCTAGTCCATTACAACAGCCAGGGACTGGTTTAGGACAAAAACAGCTTCCTTGGAATTAGGTGGAAAGGAGTGATAGAGCTGGATATCATCAGTACTCCAGGTGCAATAGGTTTCAGTGAGGGCAAGCTGCTTGACTGACCCCCCGAAAAGGGTATGGATCATGGGCCATAATGACTACTGGCCCAAGTGGGAAGCATGATGCAGGGATTCCAGGGTGGGAAAATATAAGGGAAGAAGAAAGAGAGAGTCTATGGAAAAAGAAAAGATTCACAGGGCCCTTTCACAGTACACAATGATAGCACTATGATTCCTCTTTAACTGCCATGGTTGTCTTATGGAATCCAGGGATTTACACTTTAGGGAGGGCCTTTTGAATTCTGAGCCAAAAGGTTCCCCTGATGCCTCTGACCAAACTACATATCCCAAGATTCCACAGGATGCAGCCATGGAAGGCAATATGGAAATATAATGCTGTAATTACATAGCAAGAAAGGGCCCTCAGAGGATAAGCATATGTCTTTGATTGATTGATTGATTGCCATTACATTTGAAATACACTTCTCAAGAATTTTCAAGAAGCCCCCCTCACACACAAAGAGTAGCCTTTATGGCAAAGTTGTCACATGGAAACAGCCTTGATCCACCTAAACACACATAGGACGTTATCACACGGGGAGTCATGGGAGAAAGTAGAAATAAACCGGACGAGCAGAAGACTTTAATTTACGGGATTTGTCCGGTTCCGCCTCGTCTGATAACTAAATTCGAATTTAAAAGGGGGTTAATTTGAACAAAAACCTAACCTTTTCATTTTCAGGATTTTTGAGGAAATGAAAAGATCAGGTTCTTTTCATAGGCTCTTCAGCATCCCCTTGGCAGTTTATTTAAACTTATGCATTTATTACATTTATATCCCACCTTCCTGCCAAAATGATGGCACTCAAGTCATCTGAATAATAACTCAAATATAAATAAATACAACTGAAACATTGAAAAGGTAAAAAAAGCAACAACCAAAAAAGATGCAATTCAACAACCAGCAAGCTTAAAGGCCAAAGGTCTGACTCAGAGTGTGGAAAGGGGACAGCCTATCTTTGTGAGGAATTCTCAAGCTAAGAAGTAGTATCTAGAAGGCTTTCTCTTCCATTCCCACCAAATGTGGCTTTAAAATTATTGGGATCAAGAGATGAGCCTCCCTCAAATCATAAGATCTTGGCAAGCTAGTATGGGAGACTCTAATATTCCAAATAGCCCAGTCCCAAGCTGTGTAGGATGGTTGTTTGAGTTCTCAAGGTGAAAGGGTCCAGAAGATAGCCACAAAGTTGAAAATGTCACATCCAAGGAGTTGGGATGAACACATGACCCCATCCAGCAGGGGTTCAGGTTGAAATTGTTGCTGCAGAATAGAGGAAAAAGCTGCCAGCCATTTAAAATGCCATGGAGAGCAGCATGGAAGAAACTTTTAAAAATATGGAAGCAGCAACCTGTATACCATTATCAGACCTGATAGGAGGAAGCAGAAAATTGCAGATTTTTTTTTTTTTTGCATATATACCAGATTACAAGTATAGATCGATAGATAGATATTACAAGAGTAGTTAAGCATACTACTCAAGTTTACCTGGATATTGAAGATCTTTGGACAATCAGCCAATGAAAGTAGAACAGTCTTTAGGGATTGTGTGAGGAGCTCTATGTATAATTTATAGTAATTTACAGTCATACTGAGCCAGCATGGTGTAGTGGTTTGAACATTGGACTTAGACTTTGGAGACCAGGGTTCAAATCTCTGCTGAGCCATAGAAACCCACTGGGTGACCTTGGGCAAGTTACATTTTTTCACCCTCAGAGGAAGGCAAAAGCAAATCCCTTGTGAACAAAGCTTGCCAAGAAAACACAGTGATAGGTTCGGCTTAGGTTCACCATAAGTCAGAAATGATTTGAAGGCACACAATGACAACAACAAACAATAAAGAAATGTATTTGCTTGTTTGTTCCATTTCTAGAACTGATGACTTCCCTCCCCTAATCTGAAGTCCAACTTCTTTCCCATTGAGCCTCTCCAAATCTGACAAACCTGACACTCAGCTGAATTCTTGACTCAGGGTAGACTTGCCTCTCTGTCATTTGCACAAGGCCCTCTCTGAGATATGATGAAAAGAGAAAGACGAGGCTGTTGGGGAGCAATGTCAGCTTTATCCCTTGCCTTTCAGAAAACTGACATTCAGGTGAAAGACATACATTTTCCAAATCCACATGAGTTGAGATCTCCCCCCGACCACAACACACCTTTTGTAAAATCAGCAGTTAGATGGTTTGAGACATATTCATCCTTGATCAGTGATCATCATGGACACTGCCTTAGCTGTGCTCAGGGTCATCTGTCAGTTGGGATGCTTACACCAGCTGAGTGCCCAGCTTTGGGCCAGCCAGAGTAGAGCAACCAGATCCATGCCAGCCTCTTCAGCATAATGCTCAACTGATAGAGGCCAATAATCCATGTCACTTTCCTGGTCCTTCTGTCCCACCCACCTGCAGCTCAGCTAGAAATTGTGCACAGTCATGATTTTAAATTGCGAATGGATGCATATGAACAGCTGCAGAGATTGCATACTGTTTATGCCACTGTAGTTGAGACACAAGATCAGGCTGCCTGCCAAATCCACATTTTGTTTTGATCACCTTGTGTGACATCCCTGCTACTTGCTACAAATTCAATTCATTTTGGTAGAACTCCCAAAAAATTCAGTTGAAGTGAGTGGAGATTGTAAAGCTGTAACTGATTGATTTGAACTATTTTTTTTTTAAAAAAATCTGTTCTCTTTTATTGTCATTGGTGACATCATTTTTCTCTTTTTTTAAAAATGTAAAACAATAATTTATTAATAACTTTTTTGGAATTGTTTCATTTCATTTTACGACAATGTAACCTTTCATTTTTTGTGGCACGAAAGACCTGCTACTTTTCTTGAACTGAGTAGGAGCCACTTAATTTTGACACTGATGACTCCTTCCCAGTGTGAAAGATGACCTTTTCCTTTGTTCTTGTCAATTTCAACTCCATTGAAGTTTCCTCATCTTCAATTGCCAATTAAGCTGTTTGACAAAGGAGTTGGCTAAGTCAAAATGTAACATATTGCAGTACAGCTCAGCCCCTTTGCAAGTCAGCTAGCATTACTTCTTTTTTCTTAAGGCCCAAAGTTGTCCACCTTAAGGGAATGTAGTTTGTTGTAAGCTTTTGTAGTAAAAGGAAGTGATTTGTCACTTCAGTAATAGGACCATAGGTTTATAGGTTTATCACCAGGCAGGAATGGGTTGCCTTGGCTTGGAGAAATGATACTATACCTGCCTCACCTACATCTATTAGGCCTTACACAAGCCCTGTGTCCATGATCTTGAAATATACTGACTGGTGTTTGTTCCAAGGATGTATGGATACCTTTTTGCCTGAACCTGAAACCCTTTTCCTATGAAAGGATGGAGCAGTAGCTTCTCAGTCTTTGGTTCCCTCCCTACTTGTCTCTTTTCTGACTGATATCTGCTCAAATACCCTAGGTTGGTCTCCAGAGTATGCTACAATAAGATTTATTAGAATGGGTAGCAAAAGGTGCAGTCCTATGCATGCTGACTTGAAAGTGAGTTCTGCTAAACAGAATGGGACTCTTGTTTGTAAACACTGGGTGAACTTGCGCAAATCATACTTCCTCAGCCTCAGAGGAAAGCAAATGCAAACTGCTCTCTCTGAACAAATCTTGCCAAGAAAACCCAGTGATAGATTTGAAGATGCACAAAAACAATAATGTTCATGTGGGACACATATTTTCCAGTTTAGCCTGATTTAGAAATACAGTATTTGTTACTGGGTTTGATGTGATTTTTTCCATCATAAGACAGTATTACCTATTTCATGACTGTAGCCATGGAGTCATACTCTGCACCTATGTATATGATAGACTATGCTTTATGATACTGGTAATGATGCCACATGGTACTATGTTACTATGATACTATGGCCCTATACTGTAATATACTGGTCCTAGTAAATCAATATTTTTAGGTTTATATGAGGAATAAATAGAGGCTGCCATGCTATCTGGTGGGCAGAAATAAAAGTGTTAATTATGGAAATTAATTATTAACTCCAATCATGGCTGATGGCAACTAATAATAAATACTTATGATTTATTTATTTTTTTATTAGGAATAAATTGGCTGTGGATACAAGCTGGGAAGGAACATTTTCCCTTTATCTCCCATGCTCAACTCCTCATTCTTCCTTATCTTCCTTCTCTACCTGCAGAGTTGTAGTTGTTTACTGTAAACCTACAGTCTTCTCCTTCTTCTGGATAGCTAAGAAATAATCCACTATTTCCTTTACTATTCTCCTCTCCCAGGTTGCCAAGTCCTGGTATTTTGAACCCTGAAGTCCTCTCTCTAGCTTTTCTTCACAAACGAAGATTCAGGAAGGACTCATCCC